CCCAGAGGGCTAGGATTATGGCATGAGCCACCGTGCCTGGCCAATGGGCTAAAAATTTTAAAATACTTTTCTTGCATTCTAGAAAACATCAATACTCACACACAGTTCTCAAATCTAGTCAGACATAGAAGCTATGATTTTGTTCTAACCTGGCCATCAGATCTTTCTATCAGCTTAAGTCCTAGAGGCTCATGTTGACAATTCATGGCACTTATGTTTTCAAAAATTAATAACATAGATGATCATTAAGATATAGTTCAGAAACCTACATGTCAGGCATTTGGTAATCTTTTCATATCCTGAGCTTTGCTTTCTTTGCTTTCAGTACCCATGGTCAACTGTGGTCCAAAAATTTTAAGTGGAAAGGACAAAATTATGGAATATGATCCTTAGATGGACATAGCATCAAAGTCACCCATATATAGCCAGTCTGTTATCCTAGCAATTTGGGAAGCTAAGGTGGGAGCACTGCTTGAGGCCAGGAATTTTAGACCAGCTTGGTAAACATAGCAAGGCTCAGTCTACCAAAAAAAAATAAAAGCAAAAGCAAAACAAGCGAAGTACAGTGGCAGTTGTCTGTAGTCACAGCTAGTTGATAGGCTGAGGCAGGAGGATTGCTTGAGCCCAGGAGTTCAGGGGTTATAGTAAGTTAGGATAAAACCATTGCACTCCAGGCTTAGTGACAGAGTGAGATCCTAAAAGTCAAATAAAACAAAATCATCTATATCATCACTGAAGGATTACAACCTCTACAGCAATACTGTGATGAGTTATAAGGAAAGAGACAGCTTCTGATTACAGTGTTCTTCCAGAAGGGTTCAGCAATAAGCCTTCAATTATCAAGAATCCCTAGCCATCCATATTGCTGCTCCTGACATCTAACCACTGACAGTGCCATGAGTCAGTGATCCAGGACCACCTGAGAGTGATGATCCTCCTTCAGAAGTATCATCAGAAGGTCTACAGTAGCCTAATGCTACTCAACCATGTCCACATCATAGGAAATGTCATTTCATACCACAACAGGGAGGATAGGTGTGGTATAATAAAATGTTCTGAGAGAAAGATACCACATTCACGAACTTTTACTACAGTATGTTGCTACAGTTCTGTTTTATTGTTAGTTATTATTGTTAATCTCTTCCTGTCCCTAATTTATAAATTAAACTATTATAGGTATGTATGTACAGAAAAAAACCCAGAATATATACAGGGTTCAGTACTATCTGAGATGGAGGCATCCATGGGGGTCTTGAAACATATCCCCTGTGGATAAGGGGGAACAACTATATTCAGTTTTCCTATGCCTTTAGTTTTATTCAAAAAATTCTTTCTCAAATAGATTTCAGTCAGAAACACATACTTGGTAGTTTTTATATAAGGTAAAATATCATCTTTGTTTTTTGTTATGTCTAATATTAATAAATCACATTTTTGAGACAATAGGAATGTGTCACAGGGAAGCTATTCATAATTTTATAAGGTAATCATTTATATGTTATTCATCCATAAATGCAGTACCTCCAAATACCTAGACCACATCCTAGATGAAAATTAGGTAACTTTCAAGGTTGGACTGAATACCAATTCCTTATGAACTTCTGAGATACCACCTCTCTATGACGAATGACTGTTTAAATATTTTCCATTCTCATTTGCCTCCACTGTTGACTGTACAGTGGCTCTCTAGAGCATTCATAGATCCCCACAGCTCAAGCAAGGATGATAAAGCAGAGATTCCCAAACCTACAACTCCAGTGCTTTCCCCAGGCTCCCATGTTCTATATCCCTTCCACTGTGTAAACATCCCTGGGTATCTCTCCATGAGTAAATTCTAGCTTGTCTACAGCTGAGATCATCTCTCTCTCCTTTGCATCCCCCTCATGCCCCTTGCTTGTCTGGCAGGCTCACCTCTACTGGTCTGTGAGTCCCTGGAGAACAAACAGTTTTTCTTTTTTTATTTTACCTTATTTATTTATTTAAGGATTAATGGATTTGTTTCAGAAGACGCATCAGCTGGGCGAGAGGAGGCACAGACTGCCTCAAATCCATGTCTCTGGGTTAGGGGTTTTTATAGGGGTAAAATGAATAATGTACAAGGGGAGTGAACATCATTATGTGTTTGGGATGGAGTTTGGGGCATTCAAGCAGTTAAAAATCATGGTATGACATACATCCCATGAAAAAAATGGGGGGTTAAGTCCCTCCCTGGGCAGGGATTTTAGTGCTAAAATGAGCTAGGGTTCACATTATTCATTCTTTTAGCCTTGTGTTTTAGCTCAGTGGGTCTGTGGACACAATCTGCAATGGCATATCGCTTATCTTGTCTTTTCTGGATAAATAGCTGGTGTAAGTCTCTGTAGTTATCTCAGGGCTGCAAAGAGGTTCCACCATTCCTGGGAAAAAACTTATAATGGGTTTGTTCCATATTATAGATACTATTTTTAGGACAAAGAACTTGGCTGAGTCTTTTTTCCAGTTCAGTGGTTGGTGGCAATTCTTCAACTAAGCAAATCTGCAGATAAGCAAACTTCCATCCACCTTCTAATTGCTGGATATTTATCATCACATGGATATACCATACCCTGCATCCAAGGTGGTAGCTGAGGGTCAGTGTTGGAGCCCTGGTGCCACCAATGCTGGACTTGGAGGACCAGGCACCACCTGCATGAGAAGTCAGGTTGCTGGCCCGCAGGCCCAGTTGGCAGCACTCAGTGACCCAGAGGCAGCTCAGTCCCAGCCAGCCCCACTAACTTATGCAAGGGCCCAAGCTTCGGCTGCAGAGACAGACCCACTGGCAGTGGGGACCACAGGCCTGGCAAAGTGTCCCCAAGGGGATGGTTTCACCCAGTGTTTCTTCAGGTGCAAAAGTGCTACTGACAAGGGCTATTTTTCATAGCTTCTGTTCCACAGGGCCCAGCAGAGTGAGTAGCACCCAACTAGTGCTCCCTTCCAGCAGCTAGCAAATGAAGATTTAAAGTCTTTCAAGAAGTTGGCAATGAAAAAAGAAAATTATAATAATAAATTAAAAAATTTCCTTCCTTTCCTCAATAAATTAAGTTAAATATGCACTGACAATAGAACTACTTAATGACCCCAAGTCCTTACATGCTCATCTTCCTTCCATAAGTAACTCGTTTAAAGCCTGGAGTGTTGCAGGCACTCAGAAAACACGATTAAGCCATTTAAGAGCTATAAATAACTCTTCATTTCCTCTTATCATATGTAGTGGTGGGGGGTGTCTTATTATGTTCATAATAGTATTATTCCTTCTTTAGAACTCTCCATTGTGTTCACCTCCTGAGCTTTCATAGCATGTGATCAGCAGATTTTGTCCACTTTTGATTTATTTCTCCTGTCACATAAAACGCCTATTGGTGACTTCGTAGGAAACTCTTCAAAATGGACAATCCAGATGTGTTGTTTTACTTATTCATGAAACTTATTCACTTGAACAACATACAGGTCATGTACTTTGGGGGCTGTTGGCCACATGCAGTAAGCAAGATGGACAAAGGCTCTGCCTATGGTACAAGGGGTCTTCAAATAAAGAAGAGAAATATAGATGTACACAGGACATGTACAAGGTCACCGAGCACTCTCTGGAGCTGACTATATGACAGTATTGCTAAAACACAGAAACTGCACAGGAGAAAGGCTCTCGGTGACCACCATCCCTTATAAATGTCACACGAATGGCTAGTGTAGCCTCATTCTCAGGAGGTGAAACCAGCCACATATCCAGGAATCTCCCACTATCGTCCTTTCAACAAATCACTCCCCTGGCATCTCTCTGCCAGCTTCAGAAATGACAGTTCCCTTAACTGTTCACTGAATTGAGGCCCTTTCCACTTTGTCCTGATGTTTAGTCCCAGATGATCCTGGCCCCTCCTCCCATCTTAAATCTTTTGTTTTCCAAGGCAGCCTTTACTCCCATTTTCAAATAAGTACTGCCCTTCCTTCATTTAAACATGTATATTTTTTAAAGTCTTATTCTGCTTTACCCTTCTTTGACTTCCCTGCTGTCACAATCAAACTTCTAGAGATAGAGTAGCTCAAAAGACAAAGACAGAAAGAAAAGAGTTCAAAACCTAATGGGAATAGGGCTGCCCACAGACATCAAAGGATTTGCTCTGTAACCACTCAGGCCAGGAACGCACACGCTCACATGCATGGACATTCATGCACACAATCTAAGGATGTAGTAATAGAGGAGGAAAAAAGTAGCCTCAGTAATGGAGGAGGAAAAAAGTAGCCAGTAAATTCTTCTGATATATCTGCGGGACAAGGAAAGTCGCCTAGACATATACAGTGAACTGTACCAAAGGCAGAGCAGGCCACTGATGCTCAAACAGACCGGGTCCCTCAACAGCTCTGAGGACAATTTTTCTGTCTTTGAAGCCCAGATATATCATTACTAAATTGGCGTATTTTAAACTGTTCTCCATGAAAGATCACCTTCATGCCATCAATATTCATCTCAAATACCTATTAGCTATGAAAGAAGAGCAATTAGTTAAGTAATGTGTATTATTAATAATGATGACAATTGACCTTTAGGGAGCACGGAAATAAGCACTTTCCCACATTATTGTATTCAATTCCCACAATAAACCTCTCTGGCAGGCAGGGACATCATCCCCATTTTGCAGACATGACGCTGAGGTTCAGATGGACTCAATCAGACACCTGCCAGGTGGCAGTAGCAGCAATGCTACAGAAAAAAATAAAGAGAGTACCGTATGCTGTACAGTGTACCTGCATGCAACACATGCCTGTATACACGCTGAAATAAACACATAAATACCAATGTCATAAACACCCTCTTTGGGAACAACAGGAAAATATTTTTCCTTATTGTAAACAACTGGAGGAAAAAGTTTACAAAACAATAAATAATTCTGTTTCTTGATAATCACAAACATTAGAGGCACTTAAGCAAGTTCCCAAATGTTTTCTGCAGTAAGACAGACACGTTGCCTTCCAACCCGATCATGTACCTGGTTTTTCAAAGGCCCGAGGAAACCTAGATTTTCTGCCATCCGTTGTGCCTGGCTGTTCTTTATCCCTTCAAAAATGTCAATTTGTTCCTAGTAAAAATGAATCAAATGGAAAAAAAACATTCAGACAGCGAAATGAGAATATTTACAACCTCAAAAGAAAATGATTAGTATTTATTTGTCAAAGAGTAATTAAAGTGTGGCACCCTTCCAGAGATCTCCGAGAGAGGCTATGGCAAATGCCTATAGGGTGTGTTTTATTAAATTAGCAGACCTTCTATGAAACAGCCCTTCCAAAAACTATATAATTCTTCAAGGTGGCATGCTGACAAGACAATCTGATGCCAGTTTTCACTTTTAATTACTATACAGATGGCAATGACGAATATTTAGTCAGTTAACGTTTATGACATCTTTTGGAAGGCTTCCAAAGTAAGGTTTTCCTGCCTAATATTGCTGTTAAATTTAGAACTTGCATGCCTAGGTTAAATATTACGCTATGATTTAAACACTCTATTGGTGATGATAATTACTTATGATACTATAGCTCTACAAAATGCCATTCTCTCAGACACTGAGCACTGTTCATATATATTATGAACCCACATCTGCTTATTAAATAAAATAGCTTATTTTAAATAATGTTAATTTTGAAAATGGCTAGGTATTAGTGGTAAGTGCATGTGTAAAGCCTCAATTTAACTTCCAAGGTAGTAACAGTTAACTATATAACTTTGGTGAAAATATTTTAAATCCAATAGAGCAGGTCCTCAAATAATACTGTTTTGTTCAATGTCATTTTTATTAGAATGAAACCCAGTTCCCTGGCTGGGGCTCATTTCTGCCTAGAGTTTACATATTGTCTCTACATCTGTGTAGGTTTTCTTTGGACACTTTGGTTTCCACCCACATCCCAAAGCCTCTCTTGTCAGGTAAACTGGTGAATTGACTTGGTCCCAGTGTGAGTGAAGGTGGGTATGCGTGTGTGAGTAGATGGGACGATACCTTCAGGATGGTTCCTACCTTGTTTCCTGAGCTGCCAGAATAGGCTCCAAATACCTGACACTCTGAGTTAGAATAACTGGATAAATCGTTATCTTACTTATTTTTACAAATGTTTCTGAAATTTATGTATAGCTCACACTTATGTCAATGTATACTATCAGAAGTGTTTTGGTCTTTATTTAGAAGTTGGGTGATGTTTTTGTGACCAGAAATATGCCATAGGAACTTAACTCTAGTTTATATCAATTAGCCTCAAGTAAAACTGGTTTTGTGATATATGGTTTTGAGTCAAGTCACAGTTTCCAAGAACCTGTCAAAGGAAGGTAAGTGAACATGTACTACACATTATCTAGATAAAGACTTTTAAGAAATAAAATCTCACCTTTCCAAGAGAAACAAGATCATGTTCTAAAAGAAATAATGCATGCCCCTGTTAGAAATTTTTCATGTGATTTTGATACTAAGAATCCAGTTTAAAAACCAAATTATATGCCAGGCATGGTGCTGCCTACCTGTAATCCTACCACTCTAGGAGGCTAAGAGAGGTGGATTGATTGAGCTCAGGAGTTTGAGACCAGCCTGAATGAGAGTGAAACCTGTCTCTACTAAAAATAAAAGAACTAGCAGGGCTTTATAGCAAGTGTCTGTAGTCCCAGCTACTCAGGAGGCTGAGACAGGAGGATCACTTGAGCTCAAGAGTTTGAGGTTACTGTGGGCTACAATGAAGCCACAGCACGCAACCCCACAGTGACAGAGTGAGATTCTGTCTCAAAAAGAGCAAAAACAAGTAACTCTAGAATTATAGTTCTCAGGACCTTATATCTTTGTCCTGAAGGCTGAGATAGGATAAAAAGCACTTTATACACATCATTTCATTTAATCCTCACAGTTTCCTGGGGGGAGAAATCATCCCAGTTTTGTTTTACTGATTTAAAAAATAAGTTAGAGACTTTCACAAACTTGCTAACTAATTAATTTGACCTCAGATCTCTTTTGCTTGAAAATAATCTTCATATCAATAAAAAGGACATAATTTTAAGGCCTGAAACAAACTGACAACATCTGAACCTTAGAAAGATACTGGCTAATCTTGCAAATCAGCAAGGTTCCTCTGGCTCGTTTGTCTGTAAACTGTAGTAAGTGATCGAATGAGTACACATCAGACACAGACTTTTTTTAGCAATATAGCCATGTCTGGTTTAATTATTTTAGTTACTGGAATTTTGTCTCACTTCTAGTAATAAAGGTAATGGGGGAAAAAAAAAGAAAGATACTATAGTAGAGCCTCCATAGTTGACCACCTCCTTAGGTGGACCTAATTTTCAAAGACCAGACATGTGCCACATGTATTCAATGGACGTTCCTTATGTTGACCACCTCTGTATGTTGACCAGTTTGTTACAGTCCTTGGGTGGTCATCTTATAGAGGATCCACTACAACTTATATCAGTAGTATTGAGAGACTTCAAGGCAGTCTCTATTGCACATCTAGTATCCTAGGAGATGATTTCTGGTTCACACATCATGTTAAACAGGGCAGAGTTAACCCAGGGAAAATAGAAATGTCACAGTCCTCTCATGTTGGTTAATTCTTGGGGCAGGTTGGATGGAAAGAAAAAACGGAAGAAGAAAAGGATGGAGAAGTAAAGAAGAAAGAAAGAGAGAAGGTAAAGAATAAAGCCCTCCAATACTGAATACCTTGATTATATACAACTTTCAACTGGATACCCAATAAGAAAAAGGACTCAGTATCTTCATACCTTAAGTCACTGAGACAGATTAATTGCTCCCAGCCTTAGACTCCACATTAAATATTCAACAGCTTCTACAATAATAATCAATTAATCCAGGGTGGCCAGGAATTTAAACATACCTTAAAAATAAGTTCTGGATTTGAAGCAGCCACCTCTTCAATGTCAACTCCCCCTTGGGGGCTTCCCACTAACACAGGGCCATTGCAGGACCGGTCCATCAGAATCGCCAGGTAAGTTTCTCTGGAAATGTCCAAGGCTTCAGCAACCATCACCTACCACATTAGTGGGAAAGTCAAATTAATTCAGCATCGAATGAAGCATGATTTCCACTTAGAAATCTATACAAACTTGCTATACAAACAAACAGCTTCATTTTAAAGCTCTTCAAACCCAGTCGGTTAGTTTCCAGAGATTTGAGAGCTCTGCTCTCATGGTGCACAATGCCTGCTTTCAACTCCTTAATTGATCTTGTTAACCTGTTCCAGTGACAGGTATTTGGTTTGCCTCAAGGAACCTTCCCACTTTAATCTTCTTTTTCTCTTCCTTGGAAATTCTGTTGCTTAAGAAAAACTCCAGGGAAGCAGCTGTTATTTTAATTTGAGATATTAACAGCACATATATATTACTATACTGACTTTTCTCACATTTCACTGGTGGGAAATCAAATTTGATTGCCAGAGGAGGATTCCTTTACAGTATGTCTGATGCTTCATGCATTTAATATTTGTATACGTCTATCTCTTGAGTCACTGCATCTTATTTCATCTTATACCTACTTTTAATTGACATAGTACTTGCTTTTTCAAAAAATAATATGCAAATGATACCAAAAGTATATAAATAAGAAAAGTGACAGCAGCCACCTGCTCCACACCCACCACCACATACTTATCCCTTGGGTCTTAGCAGTCAGGGTGGTTATGAGCCCACCTTAAAACCCTGTGATAATTACAGAAAGGTATCCTGTCCTCTGGCAGGATGTGGTCACTAGCTAGGACCACAACTGAGGGTCAAGCAGGATGGAAAGATTTTATTCCCTGCACAACTTTAACTGCAGGTAGCATTCCCATCAGGAAAAACCATTTACTAAAACTAGTCCCTTATCTATGTGTCTGCTGGCATTACAGTCATGGAATCATCCTACACATGGAAGCATATTACACAGACTAGAATACCTTTCTTTTTTTCTTAACCTCAACACTAAAACTTAGACATCTACAGTCCCCTCTCTCATCACTGTGACTACACAGTACTTATATGTAAATGTTACTTAACCATTTTCCTGCTGACAGACATTTACTGGACTTCAGTTCTTCCAAAATGCTACTTTAGTGATTTTGCTTATTTGTTTTGGTATTGCTGTAGATAAAGAACTTAGAAGTAAAAAGACTAAGTTTTAGATTCTGAATATTCAAAATGTTGATAATTACTGTGAAATTGCCTTTAAGAGAAAGGTTGAACCAACTTACATGCCTAACAAGAACAGTGAATGATGTCTTAGATTATTTTTAAAAGAAAATAAAAACACTCCCATCAGTAATAGATGTGAAAATAATAAAAGCACTTATATTTCTTTTCTTAAAAGTAGGTTAGTAATGGGTTTCATTAAAAAAGTTAAGAATTAAATAGATTTTAGCTACTCAGATGACTGAAAAACACTGTATCTTAGGTTATATGAAATAAGAAATACTTTATGTTCTAAAAACCCATAATGTAATGAATACAGAATTCCTTCTTTTCACATCTTTATCAAATTTATCACTAGTTAAAAATAAAATATCTTTCCAACATTTTGGGAGACTGAGGTGAAAGGATCACTTGGGGTCAGGGGTTTGAGACCAGCCTAAGCAACAAAGAGAGACTCCATCTCCACAAAAAATACAAAAATTAGCCAAATATGGTGGTATGTTGTCTATAGTCTCAGCTACTCGGGAGGCTGAGGTAGAAGGATCACTTGAACACAGGCATTTGAGGCTGCTGTGAACTATGATGATGCCACTGCAGTCTGTTACAAGCAACAGAGCAAGACTCTATCTTGAAAAAAAAATCTTATAAAGGTCTTCATATTGATTCTTTATCATAAATGGAAGCTTATAAGTATATGAAAACGACTTCTTAGAACACAATATTAGAATTATCATACAAACATTCTGATTCAAGTTGGTTGTTCTAACAATGCAGGTCAATACAGGTCAAACCAGCCAATGCCTAATTCTCCCCTCAGCCTTCAGCTTGCCTGCAACACAGCCAACTCTTTCAGAATATCTGATTGAGAAGTGGGAGAATATCTGAAGCATGAAATTTAGCCCTAATCTTTCCTTATCAAATACAATAACTTGAAGACTATAGAAATATTAAAATAGTATGAACTTCACCTTTATAAGCATTGACATTAATACATACATTTTAAGAAATTAAGATAAGTTTTCCTAGGAGAGAGAGCTGTTTTAAGAACTCTGATATGCAGAAATACAAAATAAGAGCCAGCCATAATGGCTCATGCCTGTAATCCCAGCAGTCTAGGAGGTGGATTGCTTGAGCTCAGGAGTTCAGGACCAGCCTGAGCAAGAACAAAAACCCATCTCTACTAAAAACAGAAAACTTAGCTGAGTGTTGTAGTTCCAGATATTTGGGAGGCTAGGACAAAAGGATCACTCAAGTCCAAGAGTTTGAGGTTGCTGTGAGCTATGACATCACAGGGTAACAGAGTGATACTCTATCTCAAAATAAATAAATAAATAAATTGGTAGGAAAATAGAATATACAAAATAAGGGCTGTGTGTAGTGACTCATGCCTGTAATCCTAACACCCTGGGAATCCGAAGTTGGAGGATTGTTTAAGTTCAGGAGTTTGAGACCAGAATAAAAAAGAGTAAGATCCCATCTCTAGTAAAAATAGAGAAATTAGCTGAGAGTCCTCGTGCACACCTGTAATCCCTGCTACTCAGCAGGCTGAGGCAGAAAGGTCACTTGAACCCAAGAGTTTGAGGTTGCTGTGAGCTAGGTTGACACCATGGCACTCTAGCCTGGGCAACAGAGTAAGACTGTCACACATAGACACACACAAAAAACAAAAACAAAAACAAAATGAGGAATGTTTTTTGTTTATGTTTTCAGGTCTTCTGGCATAATTATTGTTCACTTTTTAATACAGAGTTAGTCTGATGAATTATACTTAATGACTTTCAATAGTTATTCTTAGAACCAACACATTATAACTTACTAGACTAAATATCATTCCAGAGTCCTATTCTTAATCTTCTAAAATGTTGACAGATGTGCTCTGCACTCCATCACACTTCTATTTGTAAACCCCAACTGCTATGTGAAATGGTTCTTGCTTGTTAGGAATAATGTACCACTCTTTAAGAATATGTCTTCAGGATAATGATGATGAGACATTTAGTGCAACAAAGAAGAGATTTTGATGTCACCATACCATCCATATGACCCAAAATGGCAGAGTATTTCAGGAATTGTTATTAGAAAGATCTAAATGGATTCCACAAACACTCATCCCATGAGAAGCTTCCCTAGATACATTTCAAAAGAGCTATATCTGTGAATTACAGAAATATTACTTACACATCCTTTTTGTGAAGTCCTATAGTATAGAAAGCTTTTTAACTTTCTTTACCCTAATTGACCACTAAATCTATTTTTTAAAGAAAATGATCATGACACTCAAATCACGGTTTGTAATTGAGTGTTAGTATATAAGCTGTTTGTAACCGGACCATGAAGAACTACTATTAAAAGCATACTCTCAATTTTTTAATTTATTTCTTTGCACAAGTCCTCAGATTACAGAAACTCTAAATAAGCACAGGGCATATATTTCCCCATTCCACCTGCTGAATATAAACAAAAAACATCAACATTACTTGTATGCACAACTTAAGATGATTCTGAAAGCTATAGAGAAGAAGGCAGACCAGTTAGGGAGCATGAGACTAGTGAAGGACATGGTAGAAAGTGCCCCACGTTTTCTTTTTGCCTTATAAATCTCAGACAATCTCAAATGTATGCTTCACAAATATTTTATCCCATTATATAATTTTTGTATTTTCTTCTTAACAGGGTCTTTGGCTGGGCAAAGGTGTTTAATTATGACAAAGCACAGTGTATCAATATTTCCTTTAAAGATGGTAGGTACTTTTTTGATATCATATCTAAGAACTCTTTACTTAGCACTAGATGAAAAAAAATTCTACATTTTGTCCCAGAGCTTTTATAGTTTTACAAAAACTATAAAAAATCTCCAGGCCTATGTGGTTTTACTAGTGAAGTGTTCTGAACATTTAAAAAGGAATGAACACAAACCAACAATGAATATAATGGATGTTGAAATGAACAATCCCATGCCATTATAACTGCCAAGAAAAAAATTAACTATTTAGCTGTAAATTTAACTAAACCTATACCAAATTATATGCTGAAAACTATATAGCTGATGAATCAAAGTTAATCTGAAAAAAAAAAAAGTACAGACATATCATATTTGTGGATACTAAGACTTAACAAAGCAATGATGTGAATTCTCTCTACATTGACACACAGTTTTAATATGATTCCTATCAAAATCTCAGCCAACTTTTCTTGTACACAAAACCAAAATTATTTTACACTGTCAAGTAACAAAAGTAGGTAAAAATGGTTTTTAAAAAAATTAGAAAGTGAAAAGTGGGAGGAACAAGATGGTAGCCGAGTAATAGCTTCCTTTCAGCTGGGCATGGTGAGACTGGGCAGAGAAGACTCCAGGCATCTCTGGCTAGTGGGATCTACCCGGAAACTTCCCTTTGGGGACATGGGGAATCAGCGAGAGACTTCTGGACCCCATGAAGAGGATAAAGCAGTGGAGAACTGGACTCATCGAAACGCTAGTCCAGAGGCAAGGTAACTTAAAGACCAAGAGGAAATGAAAACAAAAGTAGGGCAAGGAAACAGATACAAGAAAACACTAATAAGGAAGAATCAGCAAAAAAATCCTGGCAACATGAAAAGCCAGTCCAGAGCAACCCCCACAAGGGGGGTAGTAGCTACTGCAGAGGATTCCACCTATAAAGAAATATTAGAAATGACAGAAAGGGAATTTAGAATACAGATGATGAAAACAATGAAGGAAATGATGGAAACAATGAAGGAAACTACTGATAAAGTAGAAAATAACCAAAAGGAAATCCAAAAACAGAATCAAATTAGAGATGAATGATATGAAGAATATAGAAAAGCTGAAGAAACTGAAGCAATCAACTGGGGAATGTAAAGATGC